AGATTGAGAATTATTTAAGATTTACTTAAAATATTGAAGACATTAGAATAATCAATCAAGAGAGATTAATTGAAAAATTCATTGGTTATTAACTACAATACAATATTGCACAACTATACAATAGAATTAGATATATCTGAATATTCTAATTTTTACGAAAACTATATAAAACTGATCAAACTTTTCTTCTAATCTTTTCATCAAATTTAAGACCATATTCATATTAATTATACTTGTTAATAAGTATATATTTAGACTCTTCTGGGCTTATTAAAATACAGAATCGTATTTTTACAAATCTGCTTAAAACCTATGATTGTTTTCCTTCATTTTAAATGAAATTAGATACCTTATTTTCTCCTTCTTTTTTGATTTTGATTTTTAAATACATTTTACTTCCAAAGCTATATTAATTTCCTTTACATATAAATTAGGTTGCTTTTTCTTGTTAAGATTGCATTAGAAGGTATTTGTGTTGCCTTTTCTCATCAATTACTTTTTATTTATTGTTTCATCCTATAAAATCATTAAATTAATTAAAAACTATTCATATTATTTTACTTATCATTGGTTCTAATCGACAACTTTTGATTGATCTTACTAAACATTGTACCATCCAAGTTTGGATAGGATCTGTTGTTTTTTTTAAGTTGAGGTATATGATTCAACTAAATCTGAACCTTTCCAAGTAAACGGTAAATATAATTTTAGGGTTACTATGCTATCAAGATTCAAGATGCCATTTGAATTTGTTCTCATCTTAATGCATATTTTGAATTTCTCATTCTGACTCGATCCAATTATAGCTGCAAATGAGAAATTGGTGATGTTACTCTAGTCAAAATATAGCTTTGGTATAGATCTGGTTTGCTTCATAAATAGATTGCCTAATATTCAAACACCTTGAATGAAACTTTAAACTTTTTCTCATATTTCTCCTAAATCATATATTTATAGCATTTTAGCAATAAAAATTGCGATAAACAAATACATTAATTTTTAATAATTATGATTGACTGCTGCTTTATTGTTATAATATGAGTGGTTGAAAGCCACTTAAGCATATATTTGAAAGTTGCCATACAAATCAGGGAGTAACTTAGGAATACTGCACTTATTGTAGATCCAATTCTTCCTTTTGATTTATTAAATGGTTGATTAACAAGATATATAATCTTTTAATGGAATTTGATAATCAAATTCCATTAAAAAATTATATATCTTGTTAATCAACCATTCACAAAAATAGTAACAATATTCACTAAATGATTTTTTGATCAAATTTTAATGTTATTTTAGCTAAATTCTTAATCTGTAAATCTGCATTCTTTATGAAAACTATTACTTCCAAATTCCAAGAGTTAGTTGCTTTTACTTCTGATCTGGAAGGAACCATTCTTAATAAATTTAGCCGCGTGTTTTTCAGCTTCACAAATGATTCCTTTAATTTAATTTAATTTAAATTGATAGTTCTAACCATGCTAGTCAAAAGGGGTCATAGTTATTGTATGTTATTACTTAATATTTTTATATATTTAGAATGTTTTTCTGTTATTTATCCCAACATTTAAGTATGGAGATTCATTAATATCCAAGAGTGCTGAGACTACAAATTCTGGGTCCAAAATTTCATATTAAGTTTAAATTAGAGACAAATTGAGACTTTGAATTTTTATGATTTCTTTTGTTTTTTTACATCTTAATTTATCCCATTCCAATTGTCTAAAATTTAATGTATTAAGAATTGATTAATATCGTATCCATTAATCGTTTTTTATGGAAATGCTTTAATTTAAGTATTGTATCTCAACCTACAGTTTCTGAATAAATGGGTTGCTAATTTGAAAAAATACAAAATTGAAAATTGTTAACAACTTTTAGAAGATAAAAAATTGAAAATATGCAACCAAGAAATTAGATTATACCCATACTTCTTACCGATATAAGCTTTAGTGATATTATTATGAATTCCATGTCGTTAAACTTAAGAAAATCTCTTTTGCCGATAAACCCAAATGTGAAATTTTTTCATAGAAAATTTAAAGCTCAGACAAATATTGCCAAATATATCAGAATATTTAAGAAAGTATCGTGCGTATTTTACTATTGAGCAAAATTGGGGGCAAAAGTTTAGTTGGAAATATATTGTCAAAGATGAAAGAGTTATTCATTTTCTGCAATATGTTGAAGAAGTTGATTCCCTCCTTGAACAAGAAGTTAGGTGGGCTTACTATCAAAATTTTAAATCTCAGACAAATCTGATTTCCCAAAGATAGATTGTAGAAAAGAAACTAATCCTAATTTAAATTCAATATTATCTCCTTAATCTTCTTTTAAAATTTATAATAAACTTAGTCACTTTTCCAAAATTCCACCATACACAACGTTAAATTTCAGGATAGCAAATGATTGGCATATCTGTCATATAAATGATGAGGTTTGCCATATAAAAAAAGGATCCTGAATAAAATTTTTGGCTTTTATAAGGTTTTGGATTTTATCGGCAAAATCAAAGAAAGACAATTTAAGTTTAAATAAATACACTTATTTTATCTTTGCGATTAAATTTATATGTTTGTGCATAGGAGAAGTAATTTTTAATTTAATAAGATCCATGCTATGATATAAAGAATTATTAGGATTTACTTGCGCAATTTATGCAAATTATTCTTCAAATTATTGTCCATGAAAATGAGCATTTTTAGGTTTGGCTCCAAGGGATTGTTAATTAGTGCAAAATTGCGATTAATTATGGTGTATTGGTAATGCGTTACACTTTAAACATTATATATAAATATAAAAGTAATTAGGCTGGTAATTGTTTGAACTTAATATATAATTAAGATAATTAAATTAATATTAATATAATTTTTTTTAACAATTCAAAAATTGGATCATAATTAATAATTTGGAATGAAATCTAATTAAATTAAAAATTAGTTTCCTAAGATGAACATTTTATCAAGCATATTAATAAAATAAAAATAAATAAATTTCTTCAGCTCTAATCGATTATCAAATTTTATATGGGTAAAGTTAAATCGCAAAGTATTATAGAAGGATAATAGCTGTTACACGCCTAAAAATACTTCTAAGAATTAATTTAGAAAAAAAATTCCTCCTAAACACTTTTGAAATAAATTAACAATCAACCTTTGAGACGGTATTAAGGAATTTACATTATGGTTTCAAAACTATTTATCAACTAAGGATATTTTATCCTCAATATCTTTTTTCAATTTGAAGCTCAGTATAATTTTAAATTTTATATTTTAATGTATTATGAGTAAACATTATGAAAATTTAATTCTATATGAAATCAGCTTTACTGCAAGAATTGTTCTTATCAAAATGAAAACAATTGAATTAGAAATAATTAAACAATCATATTCAAACCTGAATATAAATTTGCTTATGCTTCATAATCCTTATATCTTATTAAAAGTAGAAATTATTAAGTATATTAAAATCTATTGATAATTAATTATTGTGAAGATGCTAGATTTAAAATTTTAATAATGTAAATATACTGAATTAAAAAATTATCATAATGCTAATTGAATAATAAAATCAGTTGTAATTATAAAAGTATTTTGATTGAAATAGTAAATGAATTAATCTGAAGAAGTAGCTTTGAAATGCCAAAATTAATATCACACTAAGGATGTTTAATGAATATGTTTATGAATCATGTATAAAAGAGATTTTATTGGCATGTATTTATCAAAATTTGAATACATTTTTCATCCTCAATATTAAAAAGAGTGGCGATGTTTTTTTGAACATATATAAAATAGAATGAATGAATAAATGGATTTAAATTATTAAAATTTCTATTTATGTTTTGGAGTAGTTAAACTATTTACAAGAAGCCTAAATAAAAAAATTAATTTAAACACTGAATAAATTAATTTTTTTCTTAGAATAATGCATCCATTTCTAGCTATTTGAATTCATGATTCAAATTATACTATAGCAATTGATAAATTAATTTTAAGATTAAATATAAAAGTTATCCTATTATAACTTCAATTTAACAATTAAACCATAAATAAATTAGTATCAAAATCTTGACAATTCAGATGAATTCTATTAAATATGTTTTAACTTTATGAATTAGGTTGTACATTAACACGATTAGAATACCGTTCCAATATAAAATTTGGTCCTAACAAATTTGATAGGGCTATCAAATTTTTTACTAAACTTTAAAAGTTAATTCAAAAAATCTATTATCATTTTGGTGAAAATTTTAATTAAAAAAATAAATTTGGATAAATGAAACGTTTAATTTATCTTAAAAGTGATATGTAAACTTAATTAATATAATGAGGCTAATTGTCTGTGTTGCCAAATTTTTTTTTTATTACATCAAAGAATTGCAATTAATTATCCATTAAAGGTATGATTAAAATTGAAGTATTAGCAGACTAATCATATTTCAAAAATTATTCTCATAATTAATATAATCTGAAAATTGGGCCTTCAAAACTTGCTATTAATGGTTAAATGTTTAACTTTATTCAAATGAAAAAAATTTAGAGATCCCTCTACATTTAATAATGCTAAGTTTGTAATTTACAATGAACAAATATTAATAGAAGAGAAAATTAATAAACTTATTATAGAAAATAATAGACATAATCTTTTGTTGACTTTTAAGTTAAATGAAGCCAAAGACAATGCGAAGTGAAGTGCTTGTCTACTTTGGAAAACTTCTTTGATTCGTTTTACAAAGGAAGTCATCAATAAATCATTTACACATTACCAGCACTTATGAATGCTATTAAGATGATTCATACTATTGCTAGATTTTATAACACTAATGACAAAATGACTGGCTTGTTTGTCAAAATCACTAATCAAATGATTAAGAACTGCAAAGAGAGAATATTAAATGGAGGAAAGAATTAAGAAATTTGGAATAGAGATCCTTCTGAATTAAATGAAGTTCTAAGACAATGTATACAACTCAATAGAGAATACAAGGATAGTTATAAAGAGACTAAGGAGAAAGTGGCTGATATGCCCAAAGGTAAAACATTCGATTTCCCAGAAACATAGATATTTGGTAAATTTGATACTTTTGTCAGAAGATTGGTTAAACTAATTGACATATTTTAAAATATCTAATAATTCTAGGCTTTGGCTAAACACAACCTAGAAGGTATGGAATAATTGACTGCTAAATTCAATTAAATCATTAAGGATTTCAAAGCCAAAAATCATGATTTGTTAGACACAAACAGTAATAAATTTGATAGAGATTGGGTTGAATTCAATGTTGAAATATCCCATTTGGATATGTAATT